AGATGGAGGAGGCGGGGCTTATATACCCCGCAGGGGGGGAACTAATTGACTCTTTTTTCTTAAGCTCTAGAATCTTCCGGACGTTCCTGCGCAGGCACAGGATAACCCATTTATGTGCATTCACAGGGACCACTACGAAGAAGCAGTCTTTTTATTCCTTCTCAAAGTGTAAGCTCTCTTAATACTGGCCAGAAAATACATAACCATGAGTGTCAGTATCCTCCAGCCTTAAATACATTTTGTGGGGAAATGTCTGTAACATCAGTGTAACAGCTTGTTTAAACAACTGATCTGCTGATTTATGGGAGCTTGACATGATTCACCTAGCAGGGCATCAAAGTTGGTAGGCACTGGGTATGGTTAGAGCAGGACAAGGGACATAAAGAGGGAATTGCTAAGAAAGTTGTTTTGGCCAATTCAAATCCTACCTGCTGGGCTTGTGGCCGTAGTCAAGATTGAAGAGCTATAACTGTTGCCTTTTTGTTACTGAGCAGTCTAAGACAGATATAAGAAGTGCAAAGAAGATAGTTGATGAGAAAAACAGGTTTAATTTGTATTTTTATCTCCAAAAGGGAACTATCTAGTGTAACAAAAGGTTACACGCGTGGACACTCAAGAAGGCAAATACAGCTAACAAATACTGTGTCGTAGTCCGATTAATCATATCCTCAGCCTGAACTATCAACAGGCCCCTGTAGACACCTCCCCCGCACCCGATTGCTAAAATCAACATAAAACCCATGGGAGAATACCTAGATAAAAATCAAACTGCCCAGAACGGACAAGCTTGCCACACACACAAAACTGTGAGCTGACAAGAGGGGGGAAAAGTCTGAACAGGCAATTAAAAGGGGGGAAAGCACAAGGCCCAGATGGGTTTTCAATGGAGTACATTTTCAATGGGTATCTATAAGAGCTTCCTAGACAGTATTATAGAACCATTCAGACAAAGGTTCCTGGATGCTATTCAAAACAAAGCCTGCATTATAGTAATTAGCAGAAAATGGAATGCTTAATTAACTGGGAAAGAGTCTACACTTTGCTCATCATACAGCCCCATCAACTGATCTATTTGGATGCCAAGAAAATAGCTAAAGTCTTGATGCTAAGACAGGAAAGTATATTTTTCTCCAAATTAATAAATCCAAGCCAAAATGATTTGATACAAGAGGCTGCTGTTCTTCCCTTAGGAAGCACTGAGGCTTCTCAATCTATTTAAACACACACACACACACCAGTTTGTTCAATAATGTATCACTATTGAGAGCTGGAACTGAATGTACTGAAGAGAAGATACAACATACACAGATGAACAGCAGGGTATTGTGTAAATAAAGGCTTTCTTGATTATTAAAGTGGCTTTAGGCTGCTCCCATCTGGGTTCCAACAACAGAGTAGAGACAGCCACATATGAAAAACCTGCACTGGGACAAACAGGGGCTTTAAAAAAGAGATGGTATTTCAGAAGCATATTTCTATAACCTGATTTCTAATGTTACATCTGAAGCAAGGACTCTCACGCTCCAAGATCACCATGTTCTAGAGACTTTGAGCACATCGTTCATGCTGCATGAATAAGCATTCCTCTTGCTTTCGATGTGACAAACATGGATACAGAACAGTGAGACACACATCTTAAATCTCCACTTCTTCAGTGTCTGGGTAAGCTTAGTGAATATTAAATATACTCCCAAGGGTTGGTTTTCCCCTTTTGAGGAGCCTGCAGTACAAACCACATGGTTAGGAGAAGCAGAATACTTCTGAAGTGTTAGCTTAATTAGTTAAAAGGATCAATTAAAAATAGACACAGGTATTTCAAAGGCAAGGAACTGGAAAGCAAAGGAATACACTCTTAGTCTTTTAACACACTTTAAAACTGTCATGGTTTGAAAAAAGATGCAAATGTTTATTACTTGTAATACAAACGAGAAATATTATTTTGGATCTGGTTACTCGCCTGTCAAGTATGTGACATATGGTTTTCTTCTTAATGAGTTGGATAAATAATTTATGCAATGCTATTTTAGAAAATGCCACATATATAGCAAAATATTTGCTTTAAAATTTTCACATTTGGAAAACTTACAGGACAACCTCTCACAAGAGAATATTGCTAACAGCTGTTGCAGAATCTTCCTTGGCTCTTGTGCAGTTTCAGGCAAAAGGGTTTTGTGACAATCAATTACACATCGTTTATATAGTCTTTCAGATTGAAAAATATGCTGCAGTTCTTATGGCTGACCTTCTAACTATCAGGAAAGGAGATCAATATGATTCTCATATCAAAGGTGGATCTTTAAAGGCCTTAAGAGTAAAATGACCCTGATAGGCAGTGCACTCTACAGAACTCAGTTGTATGTAAAACCAGGGGTTTACATGTGATCAATCCAGCTCTGTAATTTCAAAACAACACATTGGTATATAAGGTACTGTTACAGGGAAAATAGAACTGAGAAGGTGGTGGAGAGGGGAGAAAAGCAAAAGCTCTAGAGCCACGTATCATTTAAAACTATCCATATTTCTTTGTGTGGATTTTTTTTTAAAGACGGGGCTTATGCTAAAAGAACAATACACCCTGTTTCAGTAAATACATAAATATCTCTGATATCTGGAGCCTTAAAGCAAGAAGTTCCAAACCACTAGTTACAGGTACTTCAATAACCAAGGTGCTGCTGTAGTTTACTAAGTGATAAAGTCTCTCCTTTTATGATGTAATTAATGTTTTAGTTACTTCTATAGTTACAGGATGTATCTCCCCCACAACAGACATCACATTGTTGTGCATGTCAAGGCAACAAAGCGGCAGACAGAAACATGCATTTTCTACCACAGGCCTTCTAGCATTCAGATTTAAAAAAAAACAAATGAACAATAACTATTTTACTGATCTTTGAGAAATCCCAAACATTACATTCAAATATTTTAAATGCTGATACTAAAAAAGTAACTTGCAACTTTGCTTTGGGACCCTGAAACTATAACTTTTTTTAAAAAATGGCTTTCCAAGTTCTGGTAATATCTGCATTAAGCACCAAACATGAATTTTCCAGCAAGTTAGGAATGGACAAGTATTTTGACCTCATCCGTCTCCTTAACTAAAAGTGCTCTTTATCTCTTGTGTTTGAACTAGCTTCCATGGTGTTGTTGTTTCGGTCAAATCGGATATTACATACCAAAGGATGTTGTCTTGAGACATAGGAAACTGTCAAGTCTGAACATTTGTTCCTCAAGATCTGCAGTTCCCCAGGTATTCATATCTAAATATTTTCCAGCAGTGGAAACAAGTGGGCTTTTAATGCAGGATGTCCCCAGCTATCTTGGGACATCCTGCATTAAAAGCCCATTTGGTTCCACTGCATATCATAGGAAATTCTGCAGACTCTTCATATTAATGAAAGAAGCTCAAACTAAAACTGTGCTCACGACCTGGGGTTCAAATTCCAGGTAGCCGGCTCAAGGTTGACTCAGCCTTCTATCCTTCCCAGGTCGGTAAAATGAGTACCCAGCTTGCTGGGGGGGCAGGCAATGTGTAGCCTGCATAATTAACTTGTAAACCGCCCAGAGAGTGCTTGAAGCGCTATGGGGCGGTATATAAGCAGCACGCTTTTTTGCTTTTTTTCTCCAAGTACTTTCACCAATTGTATACCTCCTGCTATTCCTCAAAACTCACTGGTCAGCTTTAAAAGAAAAAAGTACAGAAATGGTTAGACTTGTCTTCCTATCGTCTGGTAGCAGGAGTCCAGAATGACATACTCATTTCATGCAGGCCCACCCCAACTCTATAAATCTCCCAAATAAAGACTAAATATTGTGCTTGTTGTTGCTATGAAACTCTTTCATTCTTCTTGTTAAAAAGGACTTAGTAAAAGGAATACACATGAGCTCAACATGCACTTAGCACGCACCTGATTGCAGCACTTTTGAAGCTTAGTAGGTAAGAATATGATCTCTCCCCTCCATGGGAGAATGTATGAGATCAGAACACAATAAATACTAAGCATAAAAACCTGATGTATATTAAATGCATACTAGAAGTACATAAATGTAAAAAAAGAAGAATGTACAGGTGTATACAAAGGCAGTTACATACATTTAATGCAGTGGATAAAAGTAATGACATATGGAAACAAGTCATGTGCAAAGACAAGACTATGTTTTATACTCCAAATTAAGAGTCAAAGGAAACCCACATCAAATTACAAATGCATTTTTATTTGTTCATGTGGTCCTTAAAGGAGAATGGATATGCAGTTTTGTAAATTTCACAGCAATGGATGGAGGGCACATCACATAATTCAATCTTACAAGATAAAAATTGATGAAATACATTCAAGATGGTTAAAACTTAACATAGAGCACATTTCAAAAATATCAGGATGTATAATGAATCCCTGATCAAAGAGTAAGGGAAATTCAGTATAGACAGTTTAGTAAGCATTTTTTTAAAACAAAAAACAAAAAACAAGTAAACATAATTCTTGAGGAATCTTATAAATAAGACTACAACTTTGCTCCCATAGGGCAGAAAATTTGTGCTTGATTTTTAAAAAGTTACGAGCAGGAAGCAAAACTTAATTGCTAACCATTAGCATGGGAGTAAACATAAAAGCTTTTACGTAGAATTGTGCATATTGCTGGAAAATTTAAGCAATAGGGAAGAACAGGGAAAGTGCTAAGGCTGTTAGAAAAAAGAAAACAAGATTAAACAAATAGGAAAAAAACAACAACAAAGCAAAACAAAACAAAACCCCTTAGATTAAAGCCAACAAGCCATAAAGGCACTCTTTGGTAAAGGCAGTTAAAAGCATCGTTCCACCCTTAAGCAAGATATGGTGAAAGAAAAATTCTGTTCGTTTAGCCTTTACAGATCCTACATTCTGCACAAAATACACAGGCATGCATGGATGCATGCCTCTCATACACACACACAAAAGCATTACACTCATCCCCACATAGCACACCAGACAAAACTTAAAAATATACTGCTATGTTACACATACCTCTTGTACTGAACGAGCTGCCGGCTTATCCTGGTGATTGGCCAATATCAAAAATGGCAAAGTGCATAACTGTGGGTGCTGAAGTGCAGAATGCAGTTCGTTTCTAGCAATTTCTAAATCATCTTCTGAAGAGGCACTGTCTAATACAAATATTACTCCTTGGGATCCTTGGTAGTAACGACTCCAGTACTTCCTGATATTGTCAGCTCCTTTAATGATAATTGAACAAAAGTCAAGCAGCAATGTCAAAGAGATCAAATACAGAAAAAGAACTAAATATACTAAGTCTATTTTAGAAATAAAATCAGAGTCCCTGTTCTTTTCCAAATTTTGGTCTATTGTACTATGAGTTAAATATGTATTAACTTTGTGGGACGTATTTTGGCCTGCCAAGAACAATCCATTCTCTCTGTTTCAATCACTAATATTCTTATAGGAGTTCTCTCTCACTTTATGGCTTTCCTTTATGTTAATTTTTTTCATTACAATTACCTGCATCAGAGCCTGGAAAAATTACTTTTTTGGATTATAGCTCCAGAATCTTCCAATCCGTCCATGCTGGCTGGGTATCCTGGAAATCACAGTCCAAAAAGTAACTTTTCTAAGGGGAGGAATGTGAGATACAAATATATACACAAATACAGGTCTTTGTTTGCATCTCATATATTTTTCCCCTTGATGGTCATCTTCTCTGTTCTATTCCAGGTTTCTGTTCCTAGTACACAAATACGCTAGCAAAAGGTACTTCCACCTGGAAGTCTCCAAGCACAAGGAAACAAAAATTATGGCCTCAATCCACATGGCATTCCTTACTAAAGTAGACCCACTGAATCAGCGAGATTTACAAAAGTATTGACCTGCCACTGGGGATGGGCCAAATGAAATACCATATTTTTCGCTCCATAAGACGCACCTTTCCATAAGACGCACCATTTTTTTGGAGAAGAAAACAGGAAAATATAATCTGTTTTCTTTGCTCCATAAGACGCACAGACTTTCCACCCCCCTGTTTTGTGGGGAAAAAGTGCGTCTTATGGTGCAAAAAATACGGTAATTCCAGTGGATTATACAGTAGTGTGATAAATGCAGCACTACACTAACAGCTATCAAGATGGCACAACACATCTCCCCGTATCCTACCAGCCTACCCAACATTTTATTTCAGAGTGTTTCCCAGCCCCTCTGGGAAAGAGTCTGTCAATTCCCAACTCTGTAGATAGAAGCAGTTCCATTAGTGAGATGGAAACCACCGGGGGAAAAAATTTGAAAATTCAAAGGTCTGTCTTTTGTACTAGCCATAGAACTACACTTGCTTTACATTCTACCTTTATTTGTCCAGCATAAATCCAACTACTATATGAGATCCCAAAAGCTCCTCTTTTTCTGTTTCAGCTTCTACTTGGGACTCACCAGTGCTTCGATTCTATTGGTAAATAATGGGGTTTGAGCCTGTACATACCTGACACTAAACATAAATTGACAGAATCATTTGAGACTATTGCCAGTGAAGGTAAATCTAATTTAAAATTAACTAACAATAAGGGGTGGTAAATTTGAGGGAAACTTGTAATTATAATACTCTCCTCTGTTGGTCCCTGTCTGGATTTTTCTACGCTGTGTAGCTGGATGTTTTAAGCCAGCAATTTCCACAATGCCAATAGTTATAAGGACTTTATCTCATAATCTAATGAGTAGATTTCAATGTATGGCTACCTGAGACATCTTGCTGTCTGTGGCAGAGAAGCCATAATATCGAAGGCCAAGCATGTTATTTTGCTTTCTGGGATGCCTCTCCCCACTTCTGCATCCCAAAACACAGTGGTAATAGTTTTAGACAACATTTTTCTGTCCTACCTGGCATCAAAAATCTACCTGAGGTGTTTGTCTCACTCTGCTTTAATGCAGGGATAGCCCTACAGCAGGTTCAGCGCATCCTTCAACACAATTGGTGAATGGATAGAGTCATTTATGAGAGGCAGGTCTCTTACTTTTCTTGGCAACAAAAGGCCTAGGATTTGCTCTCCGTGGTTGTTGTTTCCTATACTGGGCACCCACGGCCACAGCAGCTCCTTTACTATAATATATTTAGGTGTTATTGCCAGTGTTTCATTAGCAATAACCTGATCTAATGCTGTTTTGCATCTATGCAAAATATTTATCTATAGAGTACTGTAGAAATATTCTACTCAAACTTTTAAGCAGCAGTTATTAAACTTGCTGTACATGAGGATACCTTGAAAATTGTCTGGAATTTACACCTAGTGCAAAATGCAGCAGCCAAACTTTCACAGCGACAATATACCACATGTTTGCACTGGCTTTCAAATTGCTTCTGAGGTTAGTTGATGTTTTCGCTCATAAAGCCCTGAACAACTTGGGACAGGATATTTGAAAGACAGCCTCCTCAAATGAGCCTGCCCAGGACTTAAGATCAATGGAGGCTCTGTTGTTATGTTCCACTGTCAGGAATGGGCAGAGTGATGAGTACACAAGACACATCACACTATATTTCCTATAGCAATTGCCAGATAGCAGAACTTTGCCCCATCCATTCCTGGATCAGGATGGGTCCCTTGCTGTGGAGCTTCCAGCAGGCAGCCAAACTGTAATATCGCATTGCCTTTGATCTTTAAAAAAGTTTTTATAATTAGCTTTGGAAACTACTTTTTTAAAGACAAGTTTCTATCTTTTTTTATCGTACAGTGTTATGTGAAGCCCTTGCAGTAGAAAAATCATTTTTTTAAAAAAAATTAACAAACATATATGCATGCAAGAGATGATCACTGCAGGTGGAGGCGCAGTAACTCATTGAAGACTCTTCTACCCTCCCAATCCTATCATCATAGAGGGGAAGGAACAGTCTCATAGCACAGTGTTTTGCACTCCTTGTGTGCTTCTGGAAAGCTGCTCTTCTCCTACACCAATTTCCTGTCACTTTTACATGCTAATTCATCCTCTCAATGTTTCAAGTAAGAAAAAGACTTCTCATTCCAGGAAGCTAAAGACAGAATTTATTAAACTAAAAAGGTTTGTGTTGGTGTTGTGTTTGCAAATTAAACATGTTTTTGCTTAAATTACTCATGAGTAGTGGCATGCCAGCTGTCCCTCAACCAATTAACCTGGTAGGTTAAACTGGGCTTCTTTTCCAAGTCTGATCATAATCTCTTATTTGAGAGAAGCATTGCAAAGCTCCAAAAATCACCTGGCTACACCAGCACTTGCTCTCAAGAAGGATGGGAGCTCTTCCCTCATGCGCGAAAACAAAGAACTATCCCTACTCTTGAATGATTTCAGCTGCCTTTCAAAACAGCATGCGAACTTACTTTAGCTAGATCAGTCAAAACGTTTCAACTTTTGTACAGTATTTGGTTTCTACAGTAACACTCATATTCTGGAAGGGAGTTTCCTTTAGGAATTCAACCCCACACCCGAAATCACACATACAGTACAACTTCATTTACTGTGTATAACTAAAGCCAAAAAACAATCCCTCTGCTCACCTTTTCTTCCCCACTTATTTTAACTTATCTTCTTTCTCCCCCCACCTCACCCTGGCAACCCTTTCAAAGTTTGCTTTGCTTCTTTTCTTCCAACATTGGTGATGCTTTGGAACCGTAACCTTTCAAACAGAGGCTGTCCCTAGTACCTAGGGATTATAGGTACTCAGTAAAGGTTATATAAAAATAAATAAATAGTATTTATTTATTATCCTGGACGCACAAACAAAATACAAAGCTCCCAGTCAGACATGGACTTGTTTAATACTATTATACCTCCAAGTTCTTTTACATTCAAGATGGCATTCTGGAATGGCACTGCTTTTATGCAAAAGCCTAAAATAAAAATAAATAAAAAAATTAGTAATGAGTAAAGAAACTATCCAAAGCAATATTGCCCCCCACCCACCCAAATAGAAGCCATATTTCTCCCTGGTTTGAGCCTTCAGCATCTTGTAAGCTTAAAGTGTCTGGGCAAAGTTTCAAAAGTTATCTTCTCACTAATCCCTTCCCTAATCCCAGGCCCTTCCATTTCCTCCATTCCTTTGAGATCCACTTTACTGCCAAAAATATTTAGAATTATTTTAAAAACATGAATGATAAAAGCAGGTTAGTTATATAAAATAAAACAATGTAAATGCCTTTTGCATCATTTTAATACAACTGGGGAACATTGTTTAAAAAATTAGAGAGGGCACATAGAAGACACTCTCTTCCAGAATGCAACCATCTAACACAGAATAAAGTATGAAAAAGAAGACTCTTGTTTCTGATGGCTACTAAGGGTAGCCCTGGGTTCAAAAAGCAGACGGAAAATTATTCTATTTCAGATCAGCTGCTTTTTGCCCATCTGGCCAAGGGCTACTCTGGGCAGTTCACTCCATGTAAAACCACATGACCAAAATACAATCAACAGAATAAAGAATAAAAGTAATAAAATGCAAATAAATCATACCGTCAAAACATAAAAATATATCAACATAAAATATTCAAACATTCAAAACATCACAAATATATGTGCCTCTCTGCATTCTTCCAATTCATACCTCAGTGTGAAATCAAATCCATCACTTTATAATGGAAAATCGTATGATTTGATACATAGATGCAAAATTCAGAACGTCACAAATGTAACCTCCCGAGAACATCTGCTGGTCCTATACAATCTTCCCAGGCCAGGTGGATGAGAGCATGGATCCCGGAAGAGGCCCAGAAACCAGGCCTTCCCGGTGGTTGCTCCTCAACTCTGGAATAACCTCCCACCCGAAATCCACCTGGCACCTTCACTGAGAATTTTCAAGCGATCGTTAAAAACTTTTTTTTCCTGACAGGCCTTCCCAGACCTTATAACATCTTAATACAGTGATTGGCCTTAACACTGATATTATCAGTCCTGCCGTCTTACTTTTATATTATTTTAATTATTATTATCTTAATTTTTTTTTGTTTGTGTTTAATTTTTATTTTAGAACTATTATGTTTATTGCTCTGAAATGTTCTTCTTGTCTATTTGTCTAACATCTATACCGCCCAGGGTGGCCATGGCAGCCAGATGGCTGGTATAGAAGTTGAATAAATAAAAAAAACATAATGAAAGTAAAAATGTTTTATTTTTACACTGTTTTTCTCTTTTTCTGAAGAAAAAAGAAGAAATTATGCATACTGTGTGCAGTAAATTTGTTAAATTCATTAAACAAGCCATGGAATTTTATGCCTTACTGTTTGTTTATATGTACTTATTTTAGTTGCCAAATACTATTTTTAAAAACTGATTTAATCTCTGTTTATGACTACATCCTGACTGTGAAGTAATACGTTGGCTTGGGCATGTCGTGAGAATGGCTGATGGTCGGATTCCAAAAGATCTCCTGTATGGAGAATTAATGCATGGAAAGCGCCCCAGAGGGAGACCACAGCTGCAATACAAGGATATCTACAAGTGGGCTCTGAAGGCCTTATGAATGGACCTCAACAGATGGGAAACATTGACATCTCAGCATTCAGCCTGGAGGCAGGCAGTGCATCATGGCTTCTCTCAATTTGAAGAGACCCTTGTCCAGCAGGCCAAGGCAAAGAGGCAGTCCCGAAACCAGCAAAACCAGGGAGCTGCACAGGGGACAGATTGTATTTGTCTTCAGTGTGGAAGGGATTGTCACTCTTGAATTGGCCTTCTCAGCCACACTAGACGCTGTTCCAAGTCCTCCATACAGAGCAAATTACCATAGTCTCTCGAGACTGAAGGATACCTAATCTAAAAAAGTATTTCTATTCATATTGTGTTAAAAGTATATACTGTATACTTCATTCTTAGATTCGCAGACACATAGGTTTGGGCTGGTGAAAGGCTGTGGCAGAACACAAAGGAAGTGAGGTGTGTTATCCAGGAAAGGAATTAGCAACTGCAAGACGCTCTGGATGTTCTTGAAGCTGGGACAGTTTGGATGCAAGAACCATCCAAGGAGCTGCCTGATCCCGTGAATTCTCCATCTCTCTTCTTAACCTGCTAGCCAATGCTCAGAATATGGATCACATTGTGCACCCAACGCACACCTGCATTGTCCCTGTATCCATTGGGTGTAGCACAGGGTACCTCTGGAGGCTTCTGATGTCTTTACAACCTTTCTTCAGGACACCTTCACTGCTTATACACAGAAAAAGAGAAGCAACTGTTCTGCAGAGGGCTGCCTGACTGGCAGAATTCATCTAAACATTAGATGGCTGATCTTGTTTGAGATCTAGCAAGCAGCTGCCTTAGGTTCCTCCACTGGGAAAAATCAATCAATCTTGAGTTACTGTATCTTCCCTTCAACATAGTTAGGCAGGACATGACCAATTATTATTACAACTACCATGCCCTGGTTTTTCTTTTTAGCCATGGCTATGCTGCATGTTTCGTATCACAAGTGGTAAAAAGTGAAGATAAGATGGAATGTCAGCCTTAAATTCTCTATCCCACCCAGTAACCGCTTATATGAACAAAAATGCTATTATATAAAGTCACACAAAGAAAGCTCATTTCACAAATTATTTAAATATTATATACATTACTGAATAAAATATCCTGAATTTGTACAAGGTCACATTCTATATGTTCACTGACAGCCTTTCTAAAAAGCCAAATTTTATTACAAATTATTCCCCTTCTTTCCTTCAGCAGATCATGGCACTTAAAACATGAAACAAAAAAAATACATGAACAAATTCCTCCTGTAGCTACCAACAAACTCACTCAAGAAGCATACCGTTTTTAGTATGAGATCTCAGATTCAAACCAGACATGATGTTGAAGCTTCATGTTAGGTATTTCCAAATAACTTTTTCTGGCTATATGACTTGTATCAGGGCCATGACATGAGATAAAGGAGGGTCTAATTTTTTGAGAGCTGCTCTGAATCTGTATCATCCTCATAAAGCTGTACAGTGTACGTCTACAAATTTAGAAAATTACGGTAATCCTGTACATTTCTCCTTCACAGGTTACAGGAGCTTGGAGAAAGTAGGTTGAGATTGGCACCACAAAACAGGGTAACAGTATTAATCCAGATGTGGGCAAATTATGGACTGCACAATATTGTTAGACTGCAACTTTAGATAGCTTTCCTCATCATTTGCTACACTGACTAGAATTAATGGAAGTTATTATTCAACTAAGATCATGGCCACTGGTCCCATCACCTCCTGGGAAATAGAAGGGGAAGATATAGAGGCAGTGACAGATTTTACTTTCTTGGGCTCCATGATCACTGCAGATGGTGACAGCAGCTACGAAATTAAAAGACGCCTGCTTCTTGGGAGGAAAGCGATGACAAACCTAGACAGCATCTGAAAAAGCACAGACATCACCTGTCCAACAAACGTCCGAATAGTCAAAGCTATGTGATGTATGGAAATGAGAGATGGACCATAAAGAAAGCTGACCGCCGAAGAATTGATGCATTTGAATTGTGGTGCTGGAGGAGGCTCTTGAGAGTCCCCTGGATTGCAAGGAGAACAAACCTATCCATTCTAAAGGAAATCAACCCTGAGTGCTCACTGGAAGGACAGATTCTGAAGCTGAGGCTCCAATACTTTGGCCATCTCATCAGAAGAGAAGACTCATTGGAAAAGACCCTGATATTAGGAAAGTGTGACGGCAAGAGGAGAAAGGGATGACAGAGGACGAGATGGTTGGACAGTGTCATCGAAGCAACCAACATGAATTTGACCCAACTCTGGGAGGCAGTGGAAGACAGGAGGGCCTGGCGTGCTCTGGTCCATGGGGTCACGAAGAGTGGGACATGACTAAACAACTAAACAACAACTGTTCAACAACATTTGTTGAATCTCAATTTGTCTACCACTGGGTTATACAGTTTCCTACCATGTTGCAAGCCCAAGCGAAAATTTTAGCTCTTCTTAAAGAAATGAGAGAATTCCAAAGCACAAAGCTTCCATGTCAAGTTCAGCCCTGCATATCGTATTGTAGACCTGAAGATTTTTTTTCCAAAAAGGATACTGTCATGTGTTGAGACACACTTTTTCATCAAGCACAAGAAAGAATGTATTTGTAACTGCTACTCTTATTTTATTTGTATTGTTTTATTGTGGGCTTCCCAGAGTAGATTTTATTTAAATCAAACTGATTTAATCAGGACTTAAATCATGATTTAATTTTTAATGGATTTTTTTGATAATTTATATTAAAATCATTTTTAAAACTTAAATTATGATTTAAAATGCAATTTAGATCAATTTGACTTTAAAAAAAAATAATTTATTTTTATCCACACTATGGCCTCCCTGCATCCCACTGGCAGATAAAATTCAGAAAGGAAAAGAAACAAATTTACATGTGAAAAAAAGTACAATTGGTATCAGCAGCCTATATTTGATCAGTTCCATTTCACAATGAATCTATTCCCTCTTAAAGAATGAGCAAGGTTGCATTTGCACCCAGTCAACAAATTTCATGTTATTTACATAGAACCATAAGCCAGATGTTTATCAAAATATAAGACTATAAAAATAATTTAAAACAGCATTTTAATTTGGCCTTAAATAAACCACGTGGCATTGCCAGAACTTTGAAAAATAAAGTAGAACACTTACTCACCTGTTGTGGACACTATCGTCTCTCTGTTCTCACTGCAGAGTTGTGACAATAGACTCGTCTTGCCAGAGCCAGTGAGACCTATGCAAACCAAGTCATATTCTGGTCGAGGTGGCGGAGGTCCTTTGCAGCAAAGCGCTCGAAAACACTGTTGTATAAGGGGAAAAATGACGTATTTGTTCTAAGGAAAATGCGTGTGTTTTTAAAAATCAAACAAGCTTTGGTGGAGCTTTATATTATTGCAATGATTCAGAAATTACTACATCTCAGTTAAGAGATACAGACAGGCACTCATAACAAAATTAACATGAATACATGCAGAAAGGGAGCAGCAGGCTGGCCCTACCCCTCTCATCCACACTCTGTTAATGTGGAGGACTACAGACCTAGCATCCTACACCCATTTAGCACTCAAGCAAAATCAGAAATCTTAATTTCTTTTACCATGGAATTAGGTTCTGAATTTGTGATTTCACTTATTCACGGTTTGCTGCAGCCCTATAAACAACATATAACACCCCCCTGGGAGTCCTTCTGTAGTCACTTAGGGCAGTGCCAACTACTCCCTGGCCCAAACATACCACACAATCCTAATTAGACCAGGGAAGCCCTGATCCATTCCTTCCACAACCAACAACAACAATAGTGGGCACCAGACATCAATGTAGCAACAACAGTTTGCAGCAGCACTTCGAAACAGATGAGGACATGAATTTTCCCCCATAGAGTCAATCTGGCTTGGCTGTGTGTCCAGTAATACGCTTAAAGGTTTAGGACTGCTTAAAGCTATAATGCTTTTTACTATCTAATGGCGTATTTTAGGGATGTATTCATTGTGCTTTTTCAGGCTATAAGCCCCTGCATTTTTAGAATACTGTACAATTAAAACAATCTTTTTGGTATTGCTAGTATTTTGGAGTGAAATCTGACTTAAGTATTTCCCTGCAACTTAACTTTAGTTTTTATGAATATTTTTAAGCATTTGTGACTATACATTTTCCATAGCTGTAAGACTTTGGAATGTTTTCAACAACTTTGAGGTATTATTGAATACTTTATTACGATCAACAGATCGGATGTGATTGAAGTATTATTGTGCATATAGAGAATAAAAACTATGTAGATAAATAAAGCTTTTAAAGATAGGCAAGCTAATGTTGCCTGGAATCAGTGCAGATGGCTGATATTCCTATTCAAATAGGAATATCCACGCACAGCTGGACTTAACACTCACATGTCCACCATCTTTCCAATCGTTCCTGGACTATTGTTCTCTTCCCACTCAGTTAGCCACTCCAGGCAGGGGGAGGGAGGATGAGTCTCCCTGCATAGATGCTGAGTGGCCAGCCAAGTGGGAAGAGAGCAGTGCTCCGGGAGTGATTGGAAGAATGAGTGACGCTGACACTACCGGCGGACACATGAGTGGATGGTCCAACCCCAGGGGCTGGAGCCTCATTAAGTCCAGCTGTGAGGGAATATTCGTATTCATATACAAATACAAATATGAAAATCCCCATCTCCAATTGCAACCATGAAGAAACCTAAGGGGAAAATGAGAAGCCTGTGTTCATCCCTGTCAGCATTTGTCCCAGGAAGGGTTAATACCAGTATGAAATCAGATAAGCATTCCCAATCATATCAATATTCTCCTTCATACCCAGATGAATAGAGGTCTATAACATTCTGTAGGGCTCTGGGGGAGGTATTCAGACATCAGACTTTCTGACTGATGAATACATCTCATTTTACAATAATGAGTTAGCTCTTTCTGAAATGTATGTTGCTCTTGTCAGATGTGCTTCAAGTGTTGTCTTCTCTGTCAGGGTTATGTGACTTAACCCGTCATATAAGGTTTTTAATTTTCTATTTAAATGGAAAAAATGTGTCCTGTCCTTCCAGTATGTTCATACCCCTCAAACTGGCTAACAGTTAAAACGCAAAGACAAAATATGATAAAACTCTTCAAGAAATTACAATAAAATAAAATTTCCAAAGGTGGACACTCTTTCCATAGAAGAAAAAAAAAGTGAGCTTTGTGGACTACAAGGCAAAGATTTCACACATGGCAGTACTGCAGAGAAACAGAAGCACTGCATTAAAAATATTATCTGGAAAAGTATGTCATCTCGCCATTTTTAAAACAAAAGCCTATTTGAACCAAACAGGATTTGCCATAAAGTGAAACATGATCTGACAGGAGACTGACCAACCAAGACCCTCCCCCTCTGGGCAAAATGTCCCCATGCCTGAAACCAGGGCTAAATGAGTGGAGGGAACATACAGATTCATGTAAACCTACCTGCCTGTCCTCTCCATCCAAAAGCCCATGAGGGCGTCACATATTCAGCATTAAGTTGGCTGGTGAAAGTGTTATCAGGAACCTTGATAAACCAGAATCCCTGATCACAAGAACTGTGTAAACAAAGTTCAGCTCCAAGGGCAGACCTACTATGAGACGACTTTGGAAGAGTCTCCCATTAGAGATTCGCCTGGCTCCCTCGCTGGGTGTTTTTAAGAGCCAACTTAAGACCTGGCTCTTTAGGCAAGCCTTGCCTCCTGTCACTACTTGATCTTTCCTTCTCTATTTTTATTTTTTCTGTCTTTACTTTTTCATTTGAGCTTTATCTTCCCATCTTGAATGATATTATTATTGTTGCTTAAATTGTTGTTTTAATTGCTTTTATGCTATTTTTTTTGTAAGCCGCCCAGAGTAGACGTTGTCTAAATGGGTGGGGTATAAACTGTATAAATAAGTAAATAAATGAAGCTTAAGTTTCAGGGTGCCTGATTACAGAAGGCCCCAGAAGCAACTTTAGTCCATATTTTTTTTTAAAAAAATGTGGTGATCTGGATGTTCTTCTCATCAGCTGAGCCTTCAGTATGACTGAGAAAGAAATACACTTTATTCAAGAACTGAGGATAAGGGAAACCTGACTGTCTAAAGAAAAGGAGCGAGCTAGCCCTGTTGGCACTCTCCTCACATGGAGAGCGATCCTCTGAAAAGGACATGATTTGCATCTTTAGCTTTTCCACTTGGTGAAACTTGATTTTTCATAGCGCCAGATGACATAGGAAGACTCCACAAGCAGTAGAGGTTCTTCCTTTCAAATTACCTACAAGAAACTACCTACAAACGTGCCTCTCTCTTTCTCTTTGCCTCTCTCTTTCTCAACTGACATGAAGAAATGAACAACAAATGTGTATGTCTAGCTGTCTCCTCCTTAACTTTAAAATATAGTTTTAAAAAATGGAGCTGAATAAAATTAAAAACAATTTAGTCATGTATCACCTCTTTGAAACATCTACGTAAGCTATTTGTCATCTGCAAAAAGAGACCTATCTTCCTGTGGGACAAATTACTTTGCTTTATAATACAATGTTTAAAAAAAGGTTTTTATAGATTTCAAAAGGCAAATAAATCCTTAACACATCAGGAGCCAAAGGTGGTAAAGAATACTTTGGGAACCTGCTGCTGCACTTTATGGTGCTTTAGAGAACAGGTTTCAAGTGTTAAACATGCATAGATGTATAAAGATTGTATCTTCATATTTAACAGATCTGCACCTGTGTTTATTCAGCACAATATTTCTTAGCTTAACGCTACAGTTGATTTGTTATTGTAGTTAGCCTGAGACAGTAAATATAGCTATGGGACAATAAACTGCAGTTCTGAAAACGCCTCAACTTGTCACCTAAACCCTCTAAATAGAACAAGGCCTGGCCATTGCAGCACAGCCTCGAAAAGCAAATACAGAGCAAATTGGCAGGCCAGTGTTTTGCATCAACACAATAGAGGGCATCTCACTAAAAATACGGTAGTTTACAGGGCTTTGCCAGGAACTCTAACTGGGGCCCCACCCTACTTCAAAGCGGTGGTAAATCACCAGCTATTATTATCTGAAATTGTATAATGTCTCTTTTTTATTTTTATTATTCAAACAATTTCCATTTTGCTGTATCTAATGGCATCTTAAATTGGTGTACAAGCAGATAAAATATCTAAAAAACATGAAGCACTGCATTATTACCAGAGAATCATGAAGTAAAAACATTTCATATTAGAGATGCTGAACACAATCCCCAAACTGGTTAGCACAGTGAGTATGAAAAGGTCTGGATTTTTAACAAAACACCTTGAGCAAGCCGCAGTTGGTGCCCCTCAACTGTGGGAAGGGATTCCAAAAAGTGGGGGTCACTATAGAAAAGGCCTCTTTCTGGGCTGCTGTCAGATGGCTATCCAGAGGCCAAGGACTACCGCCAAGGCTTTCTCTGAAGGGCAGGACATGTTTGAAAGTACCACATAAACAAGATCCAGTGTTAAATGACACAGGCCCAACAATGAAGTCTGCTCAGGAAAATGTCTCCAAATTTTACCTGATTTTATTCCCTCTACGTATATGCAACCAGAGAAACCATACCAAGGATGATTTACTGTAGTTTTCAGTGTATAAAATGACACTTTTTCGTTAAATAATTAGACAAAAAATTGAGGGTTGTTTTATACACGGAAGGCAGCCGCTTTCCCTGCCTCTTGCGAAGCCACAGGGCTTAGGGGAAAAAGGAAGGGAAGGCTCCCTTCGGGTAAAGGGGCTGCAGGATCGTACCCCTTTGATCCTGAAGACCTTTCATGGGTGCTTCGGGATCAAAGGGGTGCGATCGTGCAGCCCTTTCACAGCTGTGTTACCCACTTCCTAAGAACACAGCCGTGAAAAGGCTGCACAATCGCACCTCTTTGATCCTGAAGCAGCCATGAAAGGTTTTCAGGATCAAAGGGGGGCAAATCATGCAGCCGTTTCATGGTTGCTTTATCCATTCAGGATCAAAGGGGTGCAATCATGCAGCCGTTTCATGGTTGCCTTATCCATTTCCTAAGCCCCGCGGGGATCAAATTTTCTAATTTGGGGGTTATAAAAGGGGGGCTCCTCTTATACATTGGGTTGTCTTATAAACAGAAAAATACGGTAATATAAGGCATAGATTTATCTAAACATTTGAGTCTGTTCAAGTCACTTTAAAGATCTAAACATCTATTTGGTTCAGCATGAAATGGTATATACAGTATAACTGTATTATCATAGTAAGATGGTAGCAATACCTAATGATATAATATGGAATACAATGGAAATAATGCAGAAAATGATAATGAAA